GTTCCACGAAGACCTCAGCCGCCAGCGATCCTAAATCAAACCGCACAACCATTCCACACACAAGCTCAAGGCCCAAAACACCTGTGCTACACGAACACAGTACCTTGACACAATCCGCGGAGCACGTGAACTCTGCCTCATCACGGGCCAAGGGGCCCTTGGCCAGTGAACCCTTGCAGGCACATAGGTTGGAGAATACGGGGGCCAAGTCCAGCGCGGACCGCAGCGGCTACGATGCCTCCTTGAGGACAGCCAGAGACTTTTTTCAAATGAGGGAATGTAAGGAAAATTAAGTTTGCTGAGCAGGCCCCGGGTGCTGTGACATGCTGTGACATGTTGCCAGGCGACAATACACAGGCAACTCACCGCGCCTGGGCAGGCTTTTGAATTGGGGCACCTGTACCAATTCGACAGGTTCTTTGGGTCGGTGATGGTGACCTGGTCAATTTTATTGGAATTTGCTGTGTACGTTTTCCGAAGATGGCTTCGGCTGAGACCCGGACCATGAAACCAGCTTGCAGCTCAAGGCGTGTGGAAGTGCAGCTGCGGGTCGGCTCGGCGGGGCACTCCACGCATGGGTCGTTGCCATCGCTGGTTAGACGGGTGAAACCGGGTTGGCAAAGGTAGTAGCAACCGATGGCATCGCCGTCGCGTCGTTCTCCGGAGCCTTTGGGGCATGTCAAGGTCTGCACCTCAAGGCAGTCCTTCTTCTCATTCGTCACAAAGAAGCCGGCCGCTTCCGGCTGTCCAAGCTGTACAAGGGACAGAACATTGACTGTCCCATTCGCGCGAAGAGCACGGCCGTTTGACGCCGAGCAATCTTCGAATGAGGCATTAGACAAATGAACGCTCCCAGCGCCAACCCACAGACCCCCGCCCGTGCCGTCGGAAGCACGGCATGTCTTTGCCTCAAGGTCCTCGAGGTGCAAGTCGCCAGCCTTGACGAAGACGCCTCCCCGTGCTAAACAAGTCTAGTACTAGTTGTCGTGAGGAGCGGCTCCGTGCAGCAAGGTTTACGGAGTAATTGGGTAAATGCTTCGCAAAACCCAGTTCAGAACAATGCCTCCGCCGGCGTGGCGCGCCAGACATCTGTTGAGCTTCAGCTCGCCCATGATGCGAAGCGTAGACAGGGCGAACATGCAGCCTCAACAAGATCGAAGGCTTCTGATTCTGACAGAAGAAGAGCCAGTGTAAACACAGAATCTGGCAGGGTCCGCGTAGCAGTGTAGCTATTCAGGTCTCGGCATCCTGGTTACAGCCGCCGTCCACAGAACTGCTTTGATGCCTGCACCTTGCAACCCTGCTGTGTTCCACCCTGCAATGCATGCACTGGGGCCTCCTTCCTGTCCAAAGCTGTTCTCCAGGCTCATCTGACTGCTGTCCATGTCCAGCGTCTCAAGGAAAATGGCGCCTGCCCGCGCCCCTTTTGGGAAAGCCAAGGAATTCGTGTGGCAGCGCGAAGTAGGATGACCCCGTGATGCTGCTGGCACTCCAAGCAGCTTCCATGCATTCAACACTCATTCAACATCGCTGAACACAACAACGACCAAGCGCTGCTCATACGCACTGCACCCTCGAATTTCATGCCTCTGTCTATAACGATTCACACACCACAGAATGCCTACAACCTGCCCAACAAATCCCCGTTTCCAGCAAACCCACTCCCTGTGACAGACCTCCCTGGGTCTGAGCCGACGTGCGTCGGATCGCAACTTGGCTCTGCGAGGCCGTAACATGTTCGCAGAAGATTCCACCTGCACAGGACTCTGTGAAAGTGGCGCTTCTCGCACTGCCAGGCTGCGCCTCCGTCACCTCCAGCAGAGGAGTCCATGATATGCAGCGAGGCATTGGCAGAGCTGATGTTCTTGGCTCGAAGGGCACCTGCTGAATGCGAGTTATAGTTCAAATGATTCACTCCATTCTTCCACTAGGCGCAACTAGCGCAAAACAGGCCAGTGGTTGGTCGAGGTGCTTTCTTGACTCTTGAATGATAAAGAGTTAGCTGTGCTGGCCGCACCCCAACTCAACCAGTGTACTACAGTATTTGAGCAAGTTGTGATGAGTTCATGAAGGCCGACTGCAGAGTTCCCAGCACCCCGCCTCTCTCAGCAACGTCTGCGCCACAAGGCAGGCTTCAAGACACTTCAACGTCTCATAAGTGCACACTTCCATCTGAAGAGGGGGAGAATCATGGGCGCGGACGAAGAGCTATACAATGCCGTGTCTTCAAATTCAGGTCTACCTACTCCCTGGGTTCCTCCGAGAAAACAGGGCCCAGGCCTCCGTTGCCAGCAGCTCTCGTGTTCATGAAATCGACAGAGCCGGCGGTCACGTAGAGATTGCCACTGCAATAGACGCCACCTGCAAGTCCAAGCTCTGGCGGACCCGTTGAGACTTTTAGTTTGTTGCCTCTCTTCTTTCTTGTTGCTTTTCCCAACCCTCGATTTTGTCTCTGACTCCCCATTGCATGCCGTAGACTTGCAGGTAGCTGGCCAGGCCTTTCCTAGCGAGCTCTCAGCGGACTTCCCTAGATCCTGCGCCAGCAGGTCTCAACGGCTCAGTGCCATCATTCGCCCGCCTTTGACCGTAGAATAGATTCCGCAAGGGCCAATCCATTACGACAGCGTCATTGCTGATAGAGTTTACAGTATGAGCCGCCAAGGCCTAAGGCTCCAAGTGTTCGGCAATATTTTTAGACTTAGACTTTTGGACTCAATGTATCATATACTTATAAGGCCTGCTAGGGAAGGCTAAGTTGCCACACCCCTATGGCCTCCGGAGCCCTCGGAGCTGCAGCTCTCGGCCCGGAGGTCGCCCGCTGTGAGCTCCACGTCGCCTCCAACGAACAAGTACAGAAAACAGCTCGGCAGGCATTATTGATATGTGTTGCCTGCACCAAATCCTCAAGGATTTTGCAGCCCAGTGGCCCTCCACAAAGGCTGCGCCTCCTCGGCTCG